CAAAGATAAGAATTAATAGCTCTTTCTATAATTAAACCGAAAATCTCGACACGTCAGGTTGATGATACATTTGTAATAATTAAGAGAAATGATTTCGAATATACTCATAAATTAATAAACAACATATTTGAAGACATCAAATTCACAAGAGAAGAAGAATTAGATAACAAAATCCGATTTTTGGATGACTTAATCAGGAGAACCAACACAGGAGATTAAAAGAAACAAGTATATCGAAAATCAACGCACACAGATCACATACTCAATTATAATAGCAATAATCCAATTACTCATAAACGAAACTGTGTGCAGACATTCTTTAAAAGAGTTCAAACACATATTAGCACTCCAGAGTTGAAAAGAATGGAAGAAAAGTACCTACAAACGGTCTTCAAAAAGAGTGGATATCCACAAAATTTCATCAAAAAGTTTCAGAAACAGTCTCCACAGAAAGATCCCACCGAACAGACGGAGCTCCAGCTAACAAAGATATTGAAGAAAATGAAAGACGAATCAGTTATCAGTTCAAAACTATACGAACAACTGCGCCCATCTGGTTCTACAACACCGCGCATGTACGGCTTACCTAAAGTGCACAAACAAGACGTCCCACTCCGCCCAATACTAGATATGATAGACTCCCCATATCATACAATCGCGAAATGGCTGGTGGAGATTCTCGGGCCGGTGAAAGAGAAGCTTTCAAGACACAGCCTCCGTGACACATTCGACTTTGTTGATTCAATTAAGAATGTCAATGTGGCAGAAAAGAAAATGGTTTCCCTGGATGTTGTCTCTCTCTTCACCAACGTTCCATTGACAGAAACCGTTTGTTTCCTTTGCGACTACATTCAATCCAATAGCATCGATGTTGGTATACCGATCCATTACCTGAAAGAACTGTTACTACGATGCACCTTCAACGTATACTTTAGTTTCAACAAAGAAATATACAGGCAAGTAGATGGGGTAGCAATGGGTTCTCCCTTAGGACCCCTATTAGCCGACTGCTTTTTGGCTAGCTTAGAAAACAACCCCCTATCATCAACTATCAACGACCTTCATCTCTACAAGAGATACATCGACGATACTTTCATTATTTGTGATGAGAATTGTGATTTAAAAAACCTACTTCAAATCTTCAATAACGCCCACCCAAACATCGACTTCACACTTGAGACTGAATCCAACGGAATGTTTCACTTCCTCGACGTCCAGCTGACAAGAAACGCCAACAACTCTCTGAAAAGATCCATATACAAAAAACCTACTTGGAATGGTCAATTCATCAACTTCCAAAGCTTCGTGCCCCTAAGCAGAAAGAGGAACCTGATATACGCTCTTTCCTCGAGGATTCGGAAGATATGCAGCGAGGAAGTGATTGAAGAAGAACTGCGTAATCTCCGGAAAACCTTGATGGAAAACGGTTTCCCGCCCAGGTTCATAGACAGAAATCTCAAATCTAAGACTAAGACTTCAGAACAAGTCCAATCTGTTCCAAAGAAAACACTTCTGCTTAATCTAGAATTCAAAGGTGATATCGAAGCAGAAATCCTTCGCAAACGTCTCTGCAAATCTCTAAAGAAAACATACTTCGCCGCGAGCCTACGACTGACGTTTTCTTGCAAGAAACTGTTCAGCCAGAACGTGAAAGACAAGCCGTCGCATTGGGCCACCTCAACGTGCATATACCAGTTTACTTGCTCTTGTGGAGCTGAGTACATCGGCCGTACCATGCGCCGACTTGAAAAACGCGCTCGCGAACACTACCCAGCCTGGCTAGTAAAAGGAGACCGAAAACGTGTATACAGTTCAGTGACAGAACATTTGGTCAACTCAGGACATTCAGCGCCTTTCGAAAAATCCTTCAAAGTAATATACAAAATTCAATCAAACCTATCAAAGGGAATCAAATCAAGACATCTGGGCATAGCTGAGGCGCTAGCTATCCAAAAGCTCAAACCCACACTTTGTATCCAAAAGAATTACGTCCAACCCCTCTCCCTACCATGGCCATCATAAACAGGTAAAATTTTTTAGTAATGACAATCTCATCACCTTTCTTATCTAAACTTCCTGTTTATTCATGTTATTTTAAGTTTTCTTAAACCCTGTTTACACTACCATATTTTCATACCCACTCTTCCTGTTTATTTTGTCATCTTACTATTTCTACATATTTAATCCCTGATTGCATAAACAATTATTCATCATACTAGTTTCTTATCCAAACATCCTGTATATTTTGTTATTTCTACATTTCTAACCCCCAATTGCATAATGTCAGTCTTCTTAGTTATTATAATGCTACTTTGTTCGAGTTTTATCCATCCCCCCTGTTTGTTACGTCATTTTAATTCCTAATTGTAATTTTTATTAATTTGACCCCTAACCGGAAATTACTCTGGAACTTTCCTATCCATTTGATATAAATACACGAATGTACAGCCTAGATGATGACTTCGTCGAAAAGAAAATTTTCTTCGCTGCAATTGTCTTTTTATTAATTCCTATGACCCAATGTGTATATTCCGTGATTTGAAGAGAAGCAAGGATCGTTCGACGGTAAAGGGACTGAACAAGTTTCTTCGTTTGTCCGTCAAGCTTGCTGAAGCGAACGCAAAGATTTTCTTCTTGAAGAATTGTCTCGAGAAACATGAATATCCTAAAGTATTTTGGAAACATCTCAGACGAAATCACATATCCCCTAACTCACGTACACTGAAACGACACACGCTCAATCAAATCGATGAAGTGCGATCAAGACTACCTGAGCTAGAACAGAATATCTCAAAAAGCTCCCACGTTCTCTATGAACTATCTGAAGACGAAAGAACATCATTCGAAAACTACTCCAATACGGTTACAAAGAAAAGAACAGATGATGTCATAATGAAACTAAACCAAAGCCTAAAGTCCGTTACAAAAGAAACCGTCTTTCCTACTTGTCCGGAAAAATACGTATACAATTATTCTGATATTCCACTATCTCCAATTCAAATGCAAATCTTAGCACTTGGACCTAAGTTTTGTGATGCAACGTCAAAAGTGAATGAACTGAACACGAAAGTCCAATTCGAGAATTTAATCGACCAGACGAAAGATCTGACCCCCATCTCATATGAGAATGCAGACCTTTTCAAATCAACCGTTTTAAGTTGCTGCCTCGATTACATCAACAAAAAACCCAGCCTTCGTAACGTACTTTCCAAAGAACATCGAAAGCAACTGAAAGAATTGAAGGATAATGAAAACTTGATCATCACACGACCAGATAAAGGATCCGGAATCGTCTTGATGAACAAATCAGACTACTTAAACAAACTCTTGGTGATACTATCTGATGAGAAAAAGTTTCAGAAACAGTCTCCACAGAAAGATCCCACCGAACAGACGGAGCTCCAGCTAACAAAGATATTGAAGAAAATGAAAGACGAATCAGTTATCAGTTCAAAACTATACGAACAACTGCGCCCATCTGGTTCTACAACACCGCGCATGTACGGCTTACCTAAAGTGCACAAACAAGACGTCCCACTCCGCCCAATACTAGATATGATAGACTCCCCATATCATACAATCGCGAAATGGCTGGTGGAGATTCTCGGGCCGGTGAAAGAGAAGCTTTCAAGACACAGCCTCCGTGACACATTCGACTTTGTTGATTCAATTAAGAATGTCAATGTGGCAGAAAAGAAAATGGTTTCCCTGGATGTTGTCTCTCTCTTCACCAACGTTCCATTGACAGAAACCGTTTGTTTCCTTTGCGACTACATTCAATCCAATAGCATCGATGTTGGTATACCGATCCATTACCTGAAAGAACTGTTACTACGATGCACCTTCAACGTATACTTTAGTTTCAACAAAGAAATATACAGGCAAGTAGATGGGGTAGCAATGGGTTCTCCCTTAGGACCCCTATTAGCCGACTGCTTTTTGGCTAGCTTAGAAAACAACCCCCTATCATCAACTATCAACGACCTTCATCTCTACAAGAGATACATCGACGATACTTTCATTATTTGTGATGAGAATTGTGATTTAAAAAACCTACTTCAAATCTTCAATAACGCCCACCCAAACATCGACTTCACACTTGAGACTGAATCCAACGGAATGTTTCACTTCCTCGACGTCCAGCTGACAAGAAACGCCAACAACTCTCTGAAAAGATCCATATACAAAAAACCTACTTGGAATGGTCAATTCATCAACTTCCAAAGCTTCGTGCCCCTAAGCAGAAAGAGGAACCTGATATACGCTCTTTCCTCGAGGATTCGGAAGATATGCAGCGAGGAAGTGATTGAAGAAGAACTGCGTAATCTCCGGAAAACCTTGATGGAAAACGGTTTCCCGCCCAGGTTCATAGACAGAAATCTCAAATCTAAGACTAAGACTTCAGAACAAGTCCAATCTGTTCCAAAGAAAACACTTCTGCTTAATCTAGAATTCAAAGGTGATATCGAAGCAGAAATCCTTCGCAAACGTCTCTGCAAATCTCTAAAGAAAACATACTTCGCCGCGAGCCTACGACTGACGTTTTCTTGCAAGAAACTGTTCAGCCAGAACGTGAAAGACAAGCCGTCGCATTGGGCCACCTCAACGTGCATATACCAGTTTACTTGCTCTTGTGGAGCTGAGTACATCGGCCGTACCATGCGCCGACTTGAAAAACGCGCTCGCGAACACTACCCAGCCTGGCTAGTAAAAGGAGACCGAAAACGTGTATACAGTTCAGTGACAGAACATTTGGTCAACTCAGGACATTCAGCGCCTTTCGAAAAATCCTTCAAAGTAATATACAAAATTCAATCAAACCTATCAAAGGGAATCAAATCAAGACATCTGGGCATAGCTGAGGCGCTAGCTATCCAAAAGCTCAAACCCACACTTTGTATCCAAAAGAATTACGTCCAACCCCTCTCCCTACCATGGCCATCATAAACAGGTAAAATTTTTTTAGTAATGACAATCTCATCACCTTTCTTATCTAAACTTCCTGTTTATTCATGTTATTTTAAGTTTTCTTAAACCCTGTTTACACTACCATATTTTCATACCCACTCTTCCTGTTTATTTTGTCATCTTACTATTTCTACATATTTAATCCCTGATTGCATAAACAATTATTCATCATACTAGTTTCTTATCCAAACATCCTGTATATTTTGTTATTTCTACATTTCTAACCCCCAATTGCATAATGTCAGTCTTCTTAGTTATTATAATGCTACTTTGTTCGAGTTTTATCCATCCCCCCTGTTTGTTACGTCATTTTAATTCCTAATTGTAATTTTTATTAATTTGACCCCTAACCAGAAATTACTCTGGAACTTTCCTATCCATTTGATATAAATACACGAATGTACAGCCTAGATGATGACTTCGTCGAAAAGAAAATTTTCTTCGCTGCAATTGTCTTTTTATTAATTCCTATGACCCAATGTGTATATTTCGTGATTTGAAGAGAAGCAAGGATCGTTCGACGGTAAAGGGACTGAACAAGTTTCTTCGTTTGTCCGTCAAGCTTGCTGAAGCGAACGCAAAGATTTTCTTCTTGAAGAATTGTCTCGAGAAACATGAATATCCTAAAGTATTTTGGAAACATCTCAGACGAAATCACATATCCCCTAACTCACGTACACTGAAACGACACACGCTCAATCAAATCGATGAAGTGCGATCAAGACTACCTGAGCTAGAACAGAATATCTCAAAAAGCTCCCACGTTCTCTATGAACTATCTGAAGACGAAAGAACATCATTCGAAAACTACTCCAATACGGTTACAAAGAAAAGAACAGATGATGTCATAATGAAACTAAACCAAAGCCTAAAGTCCGTTACAAAAGAAACCGTCTTTCCTACTTGTCCGGAAAAATACGTATACAATTATTCTGATATTCCACTATCTCCAATTCAAATGCAAATCTTAGCACTTGGACCTAAGTTTTGTGATGCAACGTCAAAAGTGAATGAACTGAACACGAAAGTCCAATTCGAGAATTTAATCGACCAGACGAAAGATCTGACCCCCATCTCATATGAGAATGCAGACCTTTTCAAATCAACCGTTTTAAGTTGCTGCCTCGATTACATCAACAAAAAACCCAGCCTTCGTAACGTACTATCCAAAGAACATCGAAAGCAACTGAAAGAATTGAAGGATAATGAAAACTTGATCATCACACGACCAGATAAAGGATCCGGAATCGTCTTGATGAACAAATCAGACTACTTAAACAAACTCTTGGTGATACTATCTGATGAGAAAAAGTTTCAGAAACAGTCTCCACAGAAAGATCCCACCGAACAGACGGAGCTCCAGCTAACAAAGATATTGAAGAAAATGAAAGACGAATCAGTTATCAGTTCAAAACTATACGAACAACTGCGCCCATCTGGTTCTACAACACCGCGCATGTACGGCTTACCTAAAGTGCACAAACAAGACGTCCCACTCCGCCCAATACTAGATATGATAGACTCCCCATATCATACAATCGCGAAATGGCTGGTGGAGATTCTCGGGCCGGTGAAAGAGAAGCTTTCAAGACACAGCCTCCGTGACACATTCGACTTTGTTGATTCAATTAAGAATGTCAATGTGGCAGAAAAGAAAATGGTTTCCCTGGATGTTGTCTCTCTCTTCACCAACGTTCCATTGACAGAAACCGTTTGTTTCCTTTGCGACTACATTCAATCCAATAGCATCGATGTTGGTATACCGATCCATTACCTGAAAGAACTGTTACTACGATGCACCTTCAACGTATACTTTAGTTTCAACAAAGAAATATACAGGCAAGTAGATGGGGTAGCAATGGGTTCTCCCTTAGGACCCCTATTAGCCGACTGCTTTTTGGCTAGCTTAGAAAACAACCCCCTATCATCAACTATCAACGACCTTCATCTCTACAAGAGATACATCGACGATACTTTCATTATTTGTGATGAGAATTGTGATTTAAAAAACCTACTTCAAATCTTCAATAACGCCCACCCAAACATCGACTTCACACTTGAGACTGAATCCAACGGAATGTTTCACTTCCTCGACGTCCAGCTGACAAGAAACGCCAACAACTCTCTGAAAAGATCCATATACAAAAAACCTACTTGGAATGGTCAATTCATCAACTTCCAAAGCTTCGTGCCCCTAAGCAGAAAGAGGAACCTGATATACGCTCTTTCCTCGAGGATTCGGAAGATATGCAGCGAGGAAGTGATTGAAGAAGAACTGCGTAATCTCCGGAAAACCTTGATGGAAAACGGTTTCCCGCCCAGGTTCATAGACAGAAATCTCAAATCTAAGACTAAGACTTCAGAACAAGTCCAATCTGTTCCAAAGAAAACACTTCTGCTTAATCTAGAATTCAAAGGTGATATCGAAGCAGAAATCCTTCGCAAACGTCTCTGCAAATCTCTAAAGAAAACATACTTCGCCGCGAGCCTACGACTGACGTTTTCTTGCAAGAAACTGTTCAGCCAGAACGTGAAAGACAAGCCGTCGCATTGGGCCACCTCAACGTGCATATACCAGTTTACTTGCTCTTGTGGAGCTGAGTACATCGGCCGTACCATGCGCCGACTTGAAAAACGCGCTCGCGAACACTACCCAGCCTGGCTAGTAAAAGGAGACCGAAAACGTGTATACAGTTCAGTGACAGAACATTTGGTCAACTCAGGACATTCAGCGCCTTTCGAAAAATCCTTCAAAGTAATATACAAAATTCAATCAAACCTATCAAAGGGAATCAAATCAAGACATCTGGGCATAGCTGAGGCGCTAGCTATCCAAAAGCTCAAACCCACACTTTGTATCCAAAAGAATTACGTCCAACCCCTCTCCCTACCATGGCCATCATAAACAGGTAAAATTTTTTTAGTAATGACAATCTCATCACCTTTCTTATCTAAACTTCCTGTTTATTCATGTTATTTTAAGTTTTCTTAAACCACCCTGTTTACACTACCATATTTTCATACCCACTCTTCCTGTTTATTTTGTCATCTTACTATTTCTACATATTTAATCCCTGATTGCATAAACAATTATTCATCATACTAGTTTCTTATCCAAACATCCTGTATATTTTGTTATTTCTACATTTCTAACCCCCAATTGCATAATGTCAGTCTTCTTAGTTATTATAATGCTACTTTGTTCGAGTTTTATCCATCCCCCCTGTTTGTTACGTCATTTTAATTCCTAATTGTAATTTTTATTAATTTGACCCCTAACCAGAAATTACTCTGGAACTTTCCCATCCATTTGATATAAATACACGAATGTACAGCCTAGATGATGACTTCGTCGAAAAGAAAATTTTCTTCGCTGCAATTGTCTTTTCATCAAAAAGTGTTTAAAGTCGAATCAAAACACCGACGAGAAACCATCATCAAAGACCACAAGAAAATTCAATTTACCATACATGAGAAATATCTCTGAAATAACAGCTAGAATACTGAAACCGTTAGATATAGATAGAGCATACAAGCCAGTAAAATCGCTTTATTCAGTATTATTCATACCAAAAGATCCAACAGAAAAAGTGGATAAAATTAATACCATTTACAAAAGAAACTGTATGAACTGCAACAAGCATTACATCGGCCAAAGTGAGCGTCCCCTTCGAATCAGAATTCAAGAACACAAATCAGCCGCGAAAATACACGATATGTATTCTTTAGTATCAATGCATATAGACAATTATGTTCATCAATTTGATTGGGATAATGTCAAAATCTTAGACAGAGGAAACACTAAAAGTGCAGTCAGGGAATTCCTAGAAGCCTGGTACTCAAGCGAAAATGCAATTAACAAACACGTTAATATAGACGAAATACACCAACTAATAAAAAGTAAATCAGGTGACCAGAAAGTTTGAAATCCAAGTCAATAGAAAATGATCAATAGAGATATGTAAAGATGGTTACCAGGAGACGCAATGATATCACTCATGAAGAAATATAAATCATTTCACTTTGTGCTAAATATGGCGCTGAAGATGTTGTCCAGAAGGAGGATGAAAGCTTCACAACTAAACCAACCAGCTCAGAGAACACTATTAATTGCAAATAATCCACCTGAGCTACAAATCTTCTCTATTACAATAGGTATTTTTGTAGAGTCACTCTGATCACCTTCCGAATGCTTATATACTTCTTCACAGGTCAGCTTTCTCCAAACTCCACCGTTTTTCATTGTACGTTTTACCTTCTACATAATTTTGTGCTACCAAGTCAGTGTAGTTTAACTGAGAAACTCTCACTGTTCATATAAGTAGCTGTCCATATTACTAATTTCATCGTAAGAATCTTCTAGAATTGGATGGTACACACAAATGATTTTGAGTTTATCTGTTTTGAGAAAGGTACTGAAATCCTCTGCTCAACTAAAAGTAACTCTGAAGTTAAGATAACAATCCGAGAAATTAAATGAATGTGCGTCTGATTAAATTAAGCATAACAAGCTATGCTTAGCAATAATCGTAGAAAGACACTGTTTTCCTTGCATCAATATATATATACGAAACAATCAAGTGCTATGTGATTGAAATCAGGAGAAGTCGAACTCAAACCATCATTGGAGTACGATCTAACCAAAGGCCGTCAACTGTGCACTCACACTCCTCACCTTAATTCAAGGTATTATTCTATTTGACTGGAGTTAATCACCTACTCTTATGGACATATTTCAGAAATGCGATGTAGGTGAAGTACACAAGTAGTGTTTACAAAGAGGATTGATTCCTGGTAGGAGAATCGGTTCTTGTGTCGATGTCATGGGTATAGAAAGCTTCATTAAGGCTGATGATGGGCATATTTGCCGTTGTGAAATTTGCTGGTGGCGAGTAAGTGTAGGGAAAGGGAAGTTGATGATTGTATTATCTCGTTTGCTGGGTAACATCTTGTGTTAACTCAGATTTTGTATATTGGAAATAACTCGTGAAAGATAAACTGTATACAATTTAGTGATAGAAATCGTCGGTAGCCAAAGTTCTTTGTTGAAATTTCTGGCGGTATCATTTGAATGATCAAGTTCTCGGAATGATAATACTCGAATTACGCAACTGAAGATGTTTCGCATACACAAAATTTAAGATACAGTGAATTTATATACTCTTTAAAAATAGGACTATTTCATATCTTGTAGAATCACAAACCTTTTACGTCTTTGCTAAAGTCAGAAAAGGAAACGACCATATCTTCTTATTTATTGAATAAATTTCAACTTTATCAAACTGTGTGGTTGTTTTTCATAGCTTAGATTGGATCTGCGAGATTTCAATCGACTTCAGCGTTGTTCTAAATCCTTACATCATTAGAGAATCAATCAAAGTTCTTCATCATATGTCCTATTGATTGTAACATTCTTTGCTTCATTTAAGTACCTGTAAATGTTGAAGTACTTGTTGCTGAAACAAAGGTGACAAGTTAATCAAAAAAAAAATTCAAATGACTGACAGGTTGCTTATTCATAATAAATTGTTAAACTATAAGTCTGATAGGCTGCAGACAGAAATCAATATATTTGCTGTTGAATATACAGATTTGTATCCACATTTGCGTGGTTTAAAATAAATTGTGTTTAATGCAAGTACATCACTGACTTACGAAGCACTCCCTGAAGAAATAACTTTGCAATCATCAAATGCATTCATTATAATCGAATGAATGGTTATCATCACTAGAACGTCAGTTGAATACTAAACGAAACATGATTGCTTTGTTAAGTGTATTGATTCGTTTAGCGAGACGTTAAAGAAGTAGAATTAGTGATAATGTTGGAGTCAGTAAATCAGAAGTCTCTTCCCAATCAGTCCCCACTCCGGGACCTGGCTAGGGATGTCAGTAAACGACCTCCTCAATGGACATCCTTGTACATCTCCATTTTGATTGGACACTAGTAACTAGTGAGACGTGTCTAGTGATTTGAGCATTACTTCTCCTCAATGTATTGAAAAATGCAGATACTTTAAGATATTTATGTATTCTTTCACGTTCCCTGTGGAACATAAGGCTTCAAGCTAGAGGCTGAAAGTTTCACTAACAATGTTTATTTTTACAAGATGGAGTTGCTAGCCTCATGCTCAACCTTTCCTCTCTACCGGCTTTTATTAATGGCTTAACGAGGTAAAGGAGTGCATCGGCCGCGGATCGAACCCCAGACCATGTGCATGGTCGGCGAGCATCCTAACCGCTGTGCCACCGACGCACCTTTTAAGATACACTTATATGTAATGCTATCATCTCACGATATTGGAGTTATTATGTGTCAGTCAATTTTCAGTCCCTCTGCTTATAGATAGATTAGCAAATATAATGTCAGATATACATACGTCTGCATACATACATGTATATCGAAGCATGTCACAATTCAGCAGTAACATTCATTTATTGGTTCACTTTGGATGTGTTGAGAAATGCCCCATCTATATCATGTCATCACGAAGAGTTAACACTGAGATAAAATAAAGTATGCGTTTAAAAAATTATTTGGCATATGCTCACCTACCTAGAA